AAAAAGAAAAGACTCACGGCAAAAGGAGGTTTGTTATTTTGCCGTGGGTCTATTCCTTTTGGCCGTGAGGTTCTTCCCTTTAGCCGTGAGTCTTTTTGTTTTTCTGCGAGGTTATTTCTTTCGCCGTGACAGTTGTGGGCCACCGAAAAAATTAAGAAACACAGAACTGAAGAATTGAATTTTCCATAAGTTTCAAATAGCCACTAGCTTTATATTTCAATTTGCTTAATTTGAAGAACATTAACATCGCTTTAAGCAGTTTCTATGAAGAAAACCATTTTCCAACCGTTTTTAACAACACAGACTCAAGCTTCCGTGTGAATGGGGTTTAAATTTAAAACCATGCTTTTGGTCAAAACGCCCCTTAAGTCGAAGGCCATGAGCTGCCGCCATGTTTACAAATCTGCGTGTGCATGCCAAATCCATAAAATGACGTCACGAAGATTCCAATACTCCGGTCGTCGAAAACTGTCAAGCAGCCGCGTCGCCTTGTCTTTTGTCCTTATGCTAAATCAGTTCGCCGGATTCCAGCGGTGAGTAGGATTTGTTTCAGTTTCGCTTGACTTTGTAGTAATTGACGCAGAATTGAAGAGTTTACTTTGAAGCTTTCACTGCCTCTTCCAAGCTAAAAGAATTCGATAAGTCAAACATACTCATTTTATCTACCTTTCGTGAATTAGCATGCATGTCTAACGAGTCGACATATTCCCAAGGATACCCTGACTCTAAAGCTGACGTTTCCAGCATGAGCCCCTCTTCATTCGCTCTGAAGAAGGGCTGCTGTTCGAAACGTCAGCCTGGATACCTCTTTACAGTGGCCAATTTACATTATAACTCAGTTGATAGAACCAAATTATCTTGTTATACCGACAGGGCACCAGCGCAACACCATAGTTTCTTTAGAAATTTGTTCCTTTTATTCATTTGTGAGATGACACAAAAAACATCTTTCTTCATTCTATTACCGAGGGTTAGATTTAACATCTATTATTCTTTGACTTGAGATACAATCGGTAGAAAGGCGTTCGAAGCAGTTCTTAGAGACCCACTTGAAAGGTTTGTGATATGGAACGAAACTCGCTAAAACGAGTGGCTGTTGGGTAAAATTTCCGCACAGCCCCATCCTACATTATACATTCAGTTCTTGAACAGAGAAAACAATAACAAAAACAATACACTTCCATTGGGAAAACAGATTTGTTTTTACAATAGTATGGGGCTGTGCGGAAACTTTACCGACTGTTGTTGTTTCAGTCGGACTGTTGTTGTTTCAGTCGGCTTCGTTTGCCTCCAGGGTGTTGGTTTCGCTTTGCTTGATTAAGCCTGCTTAGTTCTCTACACGGCTCAAAAAAATTAATTGATGTAAAGAACAGGATATGATTCCATGGCATGTAATAGTTGCTCTTCGGTGACGATTCCTTGCCCGAGATCTGATACCATTATTTGGAGACGAGCTCATCGTCGAATTTCAATCGACTCTCCCCACGATGCTCGTCGAAATTTTTTAACGCTCGCCATCCTCTGCTCGAAGCTTCACTTCTGCGCTGCCGCGAGCTGCATTTCAATAAAGAATCCAAGAAATGATGACATATTGTTTTTCCACGGATCAATTCCATATCGGTCTTCCAAGAAATAATTGTCAGCAATTGAAGCCAGTCCAAATTAATTCAAGCGCAAGAATCGTCTGACGAAAAGCATCAAATTGTCTTAATTATACCTATGGCCAACTCATGTATAAAGTATTTAACCTACAAATGAGACATGGCTGTGAACTTGTAATTATTGGTCTTGCAGCAATGCAAGGTTGCTCTCATTTCAAAAGCCAAGGTTCCGGAAAACCTCGGAGAGATCTACAGTTATGGTAAACATCCAACTCCGCAGAATAATTAACGCATAAATAATTAATCGAATTTCCGTTTGCAAAATTCGCCAAATTAAGCCGCTGGAATCCAAATCTTACTTCGCATGCACAAGCCAAATTCCACTATTATCCAATTCTGTCACTTCTCGCCTCACAGTAGCTCAGTACATATTGGTATTGTAACGCAACGGTCTTAGTTTACATGGTGTTCTCCAGCTTTTATCTGGTAAGTTTTCTGCCTCGGAACAAAAATACCTCAGAATGCACTTAATTTGACCACTATTTTTTTTTCTTTTGACTGAGAGAAATAAAAGATACGCAGAACTGAATTCCACAGGTTTTCTTTTCGCAGAAAAGCACAAGATTAATTTCGTCCGCTTCTGATTGAGCCAGTCGCCAATGTTTACCTACGATAAAATCAATAAAGATTTTACGCAATACTATTGGCTGGCTCTACAATTTGTTCGTACAATAAGAAACAAACCAAACCGGACTTTTACCGTAAGATTACCACAGGCATCCCACGGAACAAGGTTCTAACTAACTTACATATTATTTCCATTTATATTCCTAAAACCTATGTAAGCTAGAATGGCAAATACCTATGTAAGCTAGATGGCAAATACATAAAATTCTTGGTGATACCAATTTTTTCTTTTAACAAATTCCTAGCGCCTAAATGTTTACAAGAGAGCTTTTCAGTCATAAATATTAATGCACTCATGAAACTCTCCACCGAAATGTTATTTTGTCTTTCAGCCTCGTGATAGACCTATAGACGTGCCAGCCAAAAGTTTGCAAAGTGAACAGCAAAATCCAGTCTTTGTTTTTGCTATTAGATCTTTTGGGAATGGGAATAACAAGAATCAGTAGAACAATATTACCACTTTGCTCCAAGAAGCGTTTGACTCTGCCGGTGGGCATGTTTCTTCTTTCATCATTTTTCCTAATCATAATACTTAGGAATGAAACAAGCTATCTACGATTCGAGCCTTGGTTTTGCAGCAACAGGACAGAAATCGCTTCCGATCGATCTTGCTTCAGTAATGCCACCAAAACCATTTTGTTCTACACGCCTATGTTTGGTAGCAAGCCATGGCCCGGAGCCAGCTCTACGGAAGAGTATCTTTTAAAATGTCCGACAAAAAAATGCCAAATAACGTATGATGTCTACGATATAGGAAAAAGTGATCTAGTTATTTTTCATGCTCGTGATATGCAAAGTTATGTAAGAACGAAAGAAATTCAACAGATTCACAAGTACCGGTGTCCACAGCAAAGAATGGCGTTTTTAAACCAAGAATCCATTGTCAATGACCCAGATTTAAAGGACCGTCTTTCCTTGCCGGAGGGGTTCTTTAATTGGACTATAACTTTCAAAAGGGAGTCAGATTTTCACTATCCTTATGGAAATTATGTTTCTTTGCCATCAGCTAAGAGACCAGCGAGAATTCCTGACTATGCAGCTGAGAAAAACAAATTTGTGTTATGGGCTGTTTCCAATTGTGGAAGAACTCGAGATAAGTACGTAAAAAAACTTCTCAAATACATTAAAGTTGATGTTTATGGCGACTGTTCGGAAAACTTTGGCCAAGACAATCAATGCCAGCCATCAAGCAATTGCGATGATATTTTCAGCTCATATAAATTTTATCTGGCATTTGAAAACAGCGTTTGTACTGATTACATTACTGAGAAATTTTGGCGTACACTTGGTTGGAATTCAGTGCCTATAACACTGACAAGAGATTTCTACACACCAGATGTAGTCCCTCCAGGCTCGTTTATAAGTGTGCAAGACTTTCCATCTGTTAAGGCTTTGGCAGAATACCTGCTATACCTCGACAAAAATGACACTGCCTATAATGAATACATCACATGGAAAAAAGAATTCGTTTATACAGGGATCTTGGGATTAACACATACAGCCTGTGACATATGTGATGCTCTTCATAATGAATGTGTTCAACCCAAATTTTATAAAGATATATTCAAGACTTTTTGGAACGATAATGTTGACTGCAAAGAGAAAGAGAGAAAACTTTTACATCTTATAGATAGAGAGGAAGAGTGATCAGTGTATGTCGAGTATCCATTGATTTTCAAATGTTACTTCCAGTTCCTCCTAGTAGACAAAGTGAATCACTGATGTTAATAACAAACAGAAACTGACTCTATGAAGGGGCCTACTCCTGAGCCCTCTGAACTGAGTCAAGGCGCGAGAATTTCAAGAGTGATAATAGAGGAGATGAAAACAACTTATACTCCAATAATTCACACCAGCAAAAAAAGTTTTGTAAAACCACAGGCGACCCAAGCTCCAGGTGTGAGATGATCATCTTACGAAATAACAGACATGGCGAAATTATAAGAGTTTTATGGGAATATTTACGACCGCTCTACGGAATAAAAAAATCAGTGAAATTCTCGCAAAAAATACCTCACCTCACTTCCACAGTGCGTTGGTTGTTATCTGACCGCTTACTACGTGGAAGGGAACCCATTTCAGCGAGTAACGTAGCTACATAGTAAGTAGTCAGATAACAAAGGAGGTTTGTTCTTTTGCCGTGAGTCTTTTCCTTTTTGCCGTGAGGTTTTTCTTTTGCCGTGAGGATCTTTCTTTTTGCCGCGAGGTTTTTTATTTTGCCGTGAGGATCTTTCTTTTTGCCGCGAGGTTTTTTATTTTGCCGTGAGGTTCTTCCATTTGCCGTGAGTCTTTTTCTTTTGCCGCGAGGTCCTTCCTTTTGCCGTGAGGTTATTTCTTTTGCCGTGACAGTTGTGGGCCACCGAAAAAATTAAGAAACACAGAACTGAAGAATTAAATTTTCCATAAGTTTCAAGTAGCCACTGGCTTTTATTTTCTATTTGCTTAATTTGAAGAAGACAAACATCGCTTTAAGCAGTTTCTATGAAGGAAACCATTTTCCAACCGTTTTTAACAACACAGCCTAAAGTTTCCGTGTGAATGGGGTTTAAATTTAAAAGCATGCTTTTGGTCAAAACGCCCTTAAGTCGAAGGCCATGAGCTGCCGCCATGTTTACAAATCTGCGTACACGTGCCAAATCCATAAAATGACGTCACGAAGATTCCAGTACTCCGGTCGTCGAAAACTGTCAAGCAGCCGCGTCGCCTTGTCTT